GGACCGTGCCAGCCTCCAGCCGCTGCTCACCCTCTTTGGTCTAGCACTTTCTAAACTCAGTCTCAAAGAGGCCTTTAGATTCATTACGGCGAACAAACAGCGACCTGCTCTGCCCCAAAGCATGTCTTTTTTGCGGCAGCAGCCTGATCTTTGTTAAGCGTAACCAGCTGTAATTCCCAGAGCTTGGCTTTCCCTGTAGCACCGGGCAAGTGCCGAGGCTGGCGGTGCCTGATCTCGCCCCACGCGTACCGAGGTTTCTGCCCTCGCAGTGATGTCGGCGGGCAGCAAAGCTTGCCGCTGCCTCAGGTCGCAGTCCGGAGTCTCAGCTCGGGCCTGTCTTGGCAGGCGTCTTCAGCGTCGTGCTGGACTGTGGACTGCGGACTGCGGCACGGGTGTGTATTCCCTCTGCCGCAGGGAGACGATTACCAACAGAGATGTGGTAATGAGTGTGTTGGGGTTACGTTGTCTTCGGCTCATCCAGCTCAGCCAACGTGAGCCCTCAGTCACGGTGAATATTGAGCTAGACTGACCAGAACCAGTGCGAAGACGGCTTCTTCCCAGCTCACTGGGGGGACGGCGAGAGTGTTTGGGAGCTCCCTTGCAGCCCCATTTAGGTGGGGATGCCCCTGTCAGAGGGACGACATGGGAAGGCTCTACATTGCCCAGTCCCCAACAGTGCTCCAGCGTCGCTTCTACCCACCGACTTCAGAGCTTTTCCTGCGGTAACCTTCCTGCTCCCATCCCCGGCAAGGCGAGGAGGAAGCCGGGTGCCGAGGGAAGGAGTCTCACCCACCGTCGTGCAGTGGAAGGTGACAGAATCTCGTGCTCCTGGTTTAACCACATGCGTGTTTGGTGGTGGACAGCTGAGAGAAGTGATTTGTTGGAGGAAGTTGCTTCTTGAGTGCTGCTGAAGTCTGGCAGACCTCACTGAGGGCTGCCCGAGCCTGGCTGTGGTCTCCGGCCTGCAGCGGTTTGCTCCACCGTGGACAGAGTTCTCCTCTATTTCTTGTCCTGCGCAGGAGAGCACTGTGCCCCGTCTGCAGTACTACCTTCGTGCAGGGAAGGATTCGTTGGATTTGGTCATCATCTGCTCCGGTTGTATCTGGGTGTCCTTTCTGTAAGGTATGGAGGGACCGAGCCCTACGGTCAGCTCCGCAGCCCTCTCCTGGGACCAGGCCTGTCCCCTGGAAGGGTAAGGGTAACGCCTGGGTCTTTGTTCCAACTCCAAATGGAGGCAGAAGCTTGAGGAGCAAAGTACTGTGGTGTCCCATTGTCTCGGGAGAAGCACATTCAGCTCTCAGATCCTGCAGGTCTGTGGCCACGTAAGCAGCACATCGTTCAGCCGTGCTCCTCTCCCCTTGCCAGCTGCTCCCGATTTGCCTGTGTCGTATGATTTACCCTTCCCTTTCTTCGTCGTTCATTGATGATGATTCCAACCTGAGTTACTATGGTGACTTTATTGCAAAGGTGCGAGTCCTCCGGCCCCGCACGCCCGCGGCACCGACTGCTCCTTCCTACCGTGCCGCAGAGCAGAGAGGCGAGCAGGGCTGCGATTAAAGCAGCATCTGCTCTTAGACAGACCTGCTGGGAGCGGCGGAGAGCCGGCAGTGGGTGGTACCGGCGTTTTGTGAATGAAATGATGCATTGCAGTCCTATTGTCGGGAGTCCCGGCTCCTCGCCCCCTCCCAGGGTTTGATGTCGGCTCAGGGAGAAAATGGGTGGCAGCAGAAGTCGCCAGGGGCTGAGGAAGGTGTGGGAGAGGAAGAGGAGGAAGCCGGCAGCGTGTTTGTTCTCGATCTGCTGGTAGAAGGGAAAGCATGATGTCTGAGGTCTGTGCTGATGGGAAGTTAAGCTCAGGACCTAGTTCTAGCCTAGCTGGGATCAAGTAACTAAAAACCAGCCTTGACTTTTGCAGACTAAGCAGTGTGTCCTGCAGTCTGGGTCATCCAAAAGCTCCTGCTGCCAGCTGGGGCAGGGGCACTGGCTGGAGATGGGCTCGAGGCTGAGCGTGGGACGGTGACTAAAGTCCCTTGCCTTTGTCCTTCTCGCTTCATGGCAGGGGTGGGACGCGCAGAGGAGAGTTGTTTTGGCCTGCCGTCCCTCCTGGTGCGGGCAAGCGGCAGCCTTCTCCGCACGGCCGGAGTCTCTGACTTTTCCTCCCCGTCCACCCATAATCGTACCTGGGCAGCGGTGCTGTGGGGCTTCGCCGAATGGCTTTATTCTAGGGGAGTGGAAGTGATCCGGGATAAGCCAGCAGCACGTGAGCATCCGTCAGGTGGGACAAACGCGAATGTCGCCTTAGGGTGACGATGTTGGTGGCTAACAGCCTGACTCGGTGACGAGGGCTGCCCTCTGCAACCAAATTTGCTGCTTTGGAGACCACGCTCCTGTCCTGTGGAAGAGCTGGCTGGCGAGGAGGGGATTTTCCCTGTTCCCAAACTTAACAACCTCATTGCTGTAAAAACTGTGTACAGCTCTTCGAGCCTGGGGGCTGCTTCGTTATCCCTTCCCTGAAACGATACAGGAGCTCTGAGAGAGCTGACGAGCGTGGGTAGCGTCCGAGCTGGGGGAAGCTTTCTTGTCCGGCTCCTGGCAGAGCACGAGCGCTGTCTCTGGCTCACAAGCGCCGCTTGGGGCTTTTTAAACTTGGTTCAAAGCCTGGGATCTCTCACCTAGATTTGTAAGTTGAGATCAGACCTTTCCCGGGCAATTCTTCTCCATAAAAGTTCAATAAAAAATGATCAATGTGATGCGGTAAGAGCTGTTCTCTTTCGTTGGCGAGCTGGGGATTGAAAGTTAAATCTCACGCTTGATTTAAGGCAAGCCGGGATGATTCTGTGACCAACACTGTGTCTTTGGTGGTGAGATGATGACAGTCTGTTCCCAGGCTCTGGGAAGGAGCAGGTGATTGCCAGAGGGAGTATTTGAGAACCCTTTCTTTCCCTGCATGTCAGGATTCGTGGCTGGGAAAGTGCAGGCTGCTTTTGTCTTGCACTCCTCTGAAGCATCAGGTAATGGCCGTAGCCGGCAGCGCAGAACAAGGACAATGCGGGGCTTTTTGGTGGAGAAATTCCTAGGTGTGAGCAAAGCCGAACTGGGGTTGTGGTGTGGTTGCCGATGTTGCTTCGGCAGCGGTGAGAAACTCCTTGGCTGGTTTGTTCCAGGCTCATCCCAAGCAGCTGCTCGGGAAGCAGAGGCAAAAGGGATCTGTCGTCTCCGGTGATCTACGGGCTCTCCGGCAGCCTTCCCAGAGCACGGCCGGGCTGACCGGTAGGGATGCGGTGGGTGAAGCTCTGCCTGTTCCTGTTTATACAGGGAATGTTTTGGATACCACACTCTTCACAGAGACGCTTGTGATGACTGCAAGTTTATGGAGACTCACTACTAAATTTAGCTCTTATCGGGAGGAAAAACAGACTTCTCCTTTTCCAGATTTGGAAGGGAACCTAACCTTTCTCTTTCCTTTGAAATCAAGTCATAGGTCCAGCATCTCTCCAGGCTGGCCAAGGTATGGTCCCTATCTTCTGGGCAAAGCAAGAGCCAAGCGATGGTGAACTGCCCAGGGCTCCCAGGGAGAGCAG